CTTTGACCCAACAGTTAGACAAGCTGAAAATAAACAGAAACAAAATCTAGGAATAAAAGGTAGCAGCAGGTAACATGGTAAACGTAAGAGCTTTCAACATTAAATTCAAAATAAATAAATAAAAAAATCAAAAAAATTCAAAGCTTTCAGATTTCATATTTCTCCCAAACAGGTATTTTTTTATCATTTAGTGTGTTACCTTTATTTATTAAATATCATAACTCACATAAAATTCAATTCAACAGCAATATCACAAACGTTTTAAAAACAGTATATCTTTAGAATTTCCGATAGACAAGCTAGTGTGCTGGAGATAAAAATGTTTTTTTTTTTTTTTTTCTGTACAGTGGTGCCGTTGCTCACTTTGGAATCACTGAGTTTGTTAATGAAAAATTCGTTAAAATTTACGAAATGTGAAATAGATAATAAAACAAATTCAAAATTCGAGCTTCCAGGTGCCCACGTTCGGGTGGAGGATTACGTTATTCAAAATTTGATGGCTCTAGGTACCGTCGTTTTTTCACAATGCGAGAAACATACCTACATTCATGCACATTCTCCTTTATTTAATTTCTTTGAAAATAATATGGGGCGATAATATTTGGTGGCACAATTTAAAAGTCATTCAGCTTTTTAATAGTGATCCAACACAAAATACCATTTCGAAACTTTTTCTGAGCTAACGCTCCTTCGGGCTAATAAAGTGAATGTAGTTCACAATTAGCGGTAACTTAAATCCTGGAATTTTCTTGACTGGCGAAGATTCACAGCAAGCGAATTTTTGCCGGCAAGCTAATTGTAAAACAGCAGAATTCAGGCAAGAGTAACAGCCAGTCTGAAAGCTCACTAATAAATTTAAAACCTGACGTTCACTAATATTTTTAGCTATATCTGAAAGGTAATTAAAATAAAAGTATAGAAAACTAAAAAGATAAAGGGGAAAAAAAAGAAAATCTGAAAGGTTTCAGATTTTAAATTACGTCCAAAGGGGCGTTTTTTTAACATTTTGTGTGTTGCATGTTTTTATTAAATATCATGTTCTTCGCACTTGAATCATAAAATTAAGTTCAAAAGCAATATCACAAAATAATTTTAAATTGAGTATGGCTTTAGAATTTCCCATACACAATCTCGCGCGCTGGAGATAAAAATGTTTTTTTCTGTACAGCGTTGCTATTGCTCGCTTTGAAATTCTTGAGTTTGTTAATCAAAAATTCGTTAAAGTTTTACAAAATATGAAATCGATAACAAAAAAAAATTCCAAATTTTAAATTTGGGCAGATGTCCATATTCGCAGTAGGATTACGTCATTCAAAAATTGGATGGCTTTAGGTACCGTTGTTTTTTCACAATGCGGAAAACATACTTACATTTATACAGATTCTTCATTATTTAATTTCTTTAAATAAAATACAGGACGATAATATTTGGTGTCAACAGTTTGAAAAGTGAAGTGGACATGCAGAGTGATTCGACGCAAAATCGCAAAGCGAAAACAATAGTCCCCTCAGGGGCTATTGTATTGTATTATTAATATTTAAAATAAAACCTCACACATTAATACAATATTAAGAAGCAATACAACTGATAGTATAGAAATAACATTATTATTACATTAAAGTTATTTACATTTCTCATTAAAATTTTAATTTAAAATCCGTCTTGTAGCAGGCTTTGGTTTAATTTTTAGTTACATAGCGTCACGTATACTATATCGGTAAAAATATTTTCAACTTTTAACTGAAAACGGGCAACTTAAAATATTTTTCTTATATTTTATTTGAGTTATTGTTTCTTTTCCTGCAAATCACATTTTAATGCATAGCTTCGTGTTTGTGTAATGATATATCATCTTCTTCTGGAGGACTGCTATTCTACGTTCTTCTGCTAGTTTGTATATGAGGAAAATTTGATTTTTAGAATGTAAGATCTTTACCTAACATCTTAAATTTACCAAAGATTCTTCACATAGTGTAAACATTTGTTGATGTTAACTAAATGAGTTTGGTTTTATTTGTTAGATTTATTTGTTAGATTCGGAAATTTGGCCTTGCAAGTGTGTTATAGTTCGACCGCCTCATCAGCGACCATGAGCGCAAACACGCATGCGCCATTCGGACCGAAATTATTCTCAAAATAGGGTGGAAGGATGGGGACTTTCTTTTCCTCCAGCGTAGCTCTTTCCGGAGAAGAGAAGACCTTTTACGTCGCAGCAAGTAATACTGTCTCTTTTGAACGAGTCTATGTGTTTTGGCAGAATGCCAACCAGTGTTGCGCTTCAGACGGTCGAACTGTACCAGTCTAGAAAATTTCAGATTTTAATTCGGAATCTTTAGCATAAATCTGCAATCTTCTTTTTCTTTTTAAGCGTTTCTGAAGTTAAGGAAAAGACAGATTTTTGAATAATCTAATAAAAAGTGATGAAACTTTTAGCAGCGGTGATTTCTAAACGGATAAGACGTGAACTCTTTTGTTTCAAGACATGAAGCATACTTCTGTTTTAAAACGTTTTTTAAACAGATTGAAATATGTTTTATCTGTCCCAGTATACCATATCTCATAGTAAAATTAAGTTATCGTCTTGTTTTTTCACTAGTATGTAAGAAGTTTGTTTAGGAGTACATTATGAAACAATTGTATAGTATAAAAAAATTGGCTTGGCAGTTTTGAAGCGCATGAAAGGGAAGCACAATAATTACCCTGCCTCCTTAAAAACAATCAGTTCCCTTACGTTGCATATCTCTGTAGTACCATGAACAACTGAAAGGTTTCAGATTTTAATAGTCATTCAAAATGTTACGGTTTTACACTCTTACTGAGCTCATAGTCTACCAGTCAGCTCTTACGTTCACTCTATTAACCTTCCCTTTTTTGTTTTTTTAGCTTTATTATTTACAGTGCTTAAACTGCGCCGGAGCCCACCGGAGCCCGGTGCTTCTTAGGTTTTATAATAAATCATAATTCTAGCCGGAACGCACCGGAGCCCTGGATAAGAAGGCTGCGGAACTTCTTTTATGTAACTGAATAACAATTTCAGTAGAAATTTTATCTCGAAAATTTTATTTTAACAATAAAATTATATTAAAAATTGCGTATTAAATTTCATTTTATTTAATTTTAATTATTTAATTACTTCAATAAATAATAATTAATTATCTAATAATTATCAATAATTTAAAATGATTTAAATATTAAAATTATAAATGATTAATTACCAATTAAATTATTATTATTAATTGTATAATAATTATTGATTAAATAACAATTTTAAAAACATTAATTAAATAGCTATTAATTAATTTGATAATAATTAACTATTTAATTTTAAAATTGTTAATGAGTTTAATAGTCATTTTAGTTATTTATTTACTCTTGTTCCTCTTTGCTGACGGTCTTCCATATTGCTCCGTCACTTCTAATCTTAGAAATTAAGCCCTGATTATTTAGCATCTTTTTTTTTCACTTACGTCATATACAATTCAATAGAAAAATTGCAAAAATTTTAAAAGCAACATAGCAGTATACATTTACAATTCCCAATGCAGCATTAAGTGATGGCATACATTTTTTTTTGAGTCTTTTTTTTTTTTAGTTCATCATATCTATGTTCAGTTTTCTAAGATAGCTTTACAAAACTTTTTCTTGTCATTTTATGAACGTTTTGTGTATTTAATCACATTTTCGGCGCGTATGCCACATAAAATTCAATTCAACAGCAAAATCACAAACTATTTAAAAACAACATATCTTTAGAATTTCCGATAGATAGTCTTGCGTGCTGGAGTTAAGAAAAACGTTCTTTAATGTTCAGTTTTTCACTGTTCGGTTTGAAATCATTGAGTTTGATTACGGTATTCCAAATTTGATGGCTGTACGTATCATTGTTTTTCGACAGGATGAGAAACATCCAATCATTCATGCAGATTCTTCATTATTTAATTTCTTTAAATGTAATACAAGGCGATGATATTTGGTGGCAACAATTTGAAAAGCTATTCGGGCATTTAAAATGATTCAACGCAAAGTGTCGTTTTGAGCCTATTAGCCCTTATGAGCTAAAAAAAATCTTTATTGGGGTGTTCAGGTTGCTATTATACCACTAACAATCTTGTCCTTATTTGCACAGTGTTTCGAACCAGTTCCCATCCCGACCAGCGGACTGGCTGCAAGAGAAGTTTCGTGGTTAACCACATCCTTAACGCGACTATGAGCCTGTTTCCCTTTAGAAAATCCTCGACGAAGGCATTCCTTTCACAATTCTGATTTTCACAGTTTATTCAAAACTGAAAAAGAAGAAAAAGAGTAAAAATGATTAATAATAAAAATAAAATCATTTGAATATGGTAATTATTTTGAGAGATATTTTACACAATATATAAAACTTGCATTTTTCTTCGCAAGATAAGCAAATATATTGCTTTAACTTTCTAGTTTATAGTTTACATTTAATATACCCATTTGGTAGCTTGAAACGTTTCAAACTACTGAACTAAATCACTGAAGCTAAGAGATACCTCGAGAACAGAAAATATTCATACAAAGGTGATTTTCAAAGTGTGTTTTGTTCACATTGTAAACTGCAACCAAATGAATCAAAATCCTGTAAATATTTACATATTAGTAGCAATGAAAATAACGTTCATTCTAAACGTAAACAAGAATGGAACTACCACATAAAGGCAATTTTATAGTCATTCAGCTCTAATTTTTTATATTTGGTGGTTACTTTTCAACTATTTTAGTTTATTTATTAGATACGTAATATGTATGCTTGCTTATGCAATGACAGGTAACATAATGTGGCTTAATTAATTTCTTTGGTCGCAAAATGCATTCGAGAACGGATTCCCTGTTTTCAAATGTCAATATGGGAATTCGTATTCAAGACAATATTCAGCAATTAACCGCAGTAGGTAAGCTAAAAAATGTTTGACTTCATGATCATAATAGATTCATTCACAATGAAGAGTTTTATAAAACGAATAATTTTATTTTTCTAGGAAGCCTACGAAACGACAGCAAATTTAGAGCTATGCCAAATAACACCGATTAGCTGTTAGGACCTTTCATCGTTTACGATTTGCAGCCAAAAATTTGTAATTTAGCCCATTACATGTAGATGACAATGAATCATGCAAATAAAAGATTTAATTTGATTTGTGTAATAACTGTAGCTTGATGTAATAAATACTCTTATATTATTTGTGGTGAAGCAAAATCTGAATTTTATGACCCTTCGTTCTTAGACGAAAAACAAAAAGTAAATATTCCTCAGAATTTAAATTGAGCAGAAACAGAAAAAAATCGAAAATTTCGTTTATTCGAATTCACGCAGTCGCCATTTTGCAACTGATTCGAATCGTTTGTGAATTCTCCTTCCATTTTTGCAGCTGCATAATCCGTTGCCAGATTCCGTCATCGACACTTTTGACATTTATTGTAATGGAGTCCGGGAGATGTTTGGTCGCCTAGCAACGGAGGTCGACCCTCGAAATACGTTTCACTCTTGTCGGAAGTTTATTGATATGATTTCGAAATCGCGCTCTGCAAACCGTCGTTTTATCGATTCTTTTGCACGCGCTCGTTAAAAAGTTATCGCAGCAATCGAAGTAAGGGTTTCATAAGTTTAGCTTTTGCCGAAACTTTTGAATGTTTTCAAAATAAACCGATCTGCCATCATAAGCACACATATGTAATTCCAAAGATTCAACAAGTCTTCCCCAGTAAAAAATTGGTATTTAAATGTTGGTCAGTATTTTAAATGCATGAGTTTTCTTGGGTAACACAAAAATGCAAATTGCTTTTGAGAGAAAATCAACCGAGGGCACTGAGAAAGCTACAGTGAATGACAGCAATATTTTGGAAACTCAAGTAGACGTCGTTATCGAACGTTATTTTTCTGAGATACGCCCAGTAAAGACCGAAATCATCAAGAAAGGTCAGTGATCGTCTTAGGAAGGTTTCGTAGGATTCACCTCTGCTTTCCATGTATTTCTTCAGGAGAAATTCCTTTCCGAAATTCCAAAAATACATAATCCTCATCCACGATTATTCCGTAATTATTCGTCTCTTGTACCATTTAGAGCAGTGGTTGTCTACCTGTTTGCCTCATGCATCTCTTCACCATTGATGGAAGATTATTCCTTAAGCAGAAATTCCTTTCCGAAACTCCAAAAATACATATACATTTATTTAGACTTCGAATTATTCTTTAACGTGTTTGTATAAATTAAACACCAAAAAGTACGGAAAATGCTGACAAATACCAAAACTTGATTAAAAGTAGTTTTTTATTTTCATGAATTAAAACTAAATATTTAAAAATTAAATAAAAGGCTGACCGCATCCCTGTCTCTTCAGATTAGGAAATTTGTTTCCTTTGGTTGAGAATTCCTCATCTAGAGCGTTGATGATGAACTATTATATTATTAAATGTGAAAGAAAATGCATAAATTTAAATTATTAGCTTCCATATGCTAACTGAACATGTGGGGAAGAGACTATGATTCTAGAGAAATGTAGTTTTATTTAACTGTTGCCTGTTTATCACCTTAGCTAGAACTCTTCAAAAACTGAGGTCCTAAGTTGTCAAAGTGCTTATGCTTGGAGTCGCGCTGTATGAACTACCTTAGGTGGAGATTGTACACCGCTTGTACAGCAGCAGATTTATGAAGTGAGAATTCCACCTTCACATAGGCATTTGGGCACGTCATCATCTTGGGTCCTTGAGTCACAGGTATGTTTATTATCTTTTAAAACGTCATTAACGATTCTGGGGTCTCTTGGGACGCGTAGTTTTCCACGATTGCAATTTCGGCTCTCAATTTGATTTTCCCTCAGGTATTCAAGGTTTTAATGCGTCCACAGTAGACTCAGCAAATGGGTAATGAATTAAAAAAAGGGATTATTGATTTAACTAAATATGACAGTTTAATTGATTTTAGTTTAGTTTCTGCAATTAAATTAATTTTGATAGTTTAATTGCTTTTAGTTTAGTTTCAGAAATATTTCGTTATTAAATGTCGAGTGGGTAATTTGGAAACTCAGTGATGTACAATGTCATGTTAACATGCGAAGCTTGTAGTACTTGAATTTGACAACGGAAAGACATCAGTGTTCTCTGTTTAGAAGAAATCTATGAATTTACAACGTCTGTGAAACGCGATTCCACTAAAAACGAAGTAAACATTTCATTTGACGGGTTACAATAAAGCTCCCAGTCACGTGATTCCGATAATAACACTTCACTTGTCAGATCCCCTTCATTTGACTTCTAAATGTTCTGTATGATTAAGATAGGGTTATGCGGTCTGTATCTATGTTATGGTCTGTATCTGTAACAAGAGAAGCTATACAAGATGACAGAACAGCCAATATATGAAAGACATCAAAAGACGTATTGTTCTGTTGCTTCTAGGAATGGACGGAGCATTGGAGCAAGTACGCATACTCCCACAGACGTTACCTGAAAGGCGATTGCGTATTAAGTACTTTTTAAAGGTATGGTTATTAGAAGCACATAGTTAAGAATTATGAATATACAAAAGCAGTAATATAAGGATAAAAGGGAAACTGATACAATTTATGAATGAAATCAATTGATCCAGCAATTCCAAACTCCACCGTTTGCATCCAGAACTGGCAAAGCATGTTTTGATTTTGTATGATTAAAATTGTATTAAATTTTATTTCTATTTAAAATGTTTTCTTACTGCTTGCACAAGGAACTTCAGCTATTAGATACAAATCGGATTACATTAGATACATCAACAGCTTTAAGCGTTTTTATTGCAATAAAGAGTTAGGAAAAGTTTTCTTGGAAACAGATAATAAAATAAAAAAACGCTTTGAATTTATTAAATTATCAAACACGTTTTCGTATGATCTCTTCCCTCTGCAAAGTTGCCATAAATGTAACAATTATTTCTCATTGTTTCAAAAAATTGCATTTATAAAAACTGTTTTATATCTTGTATTTATGATTAGTTAACCAATGCAATAAATATTGAAGACTGGAAAAAAAAGGCTTTTTAACATCAACGAAAACATGTTTCTTCTTATTATGACTTCTTTAGCACCAGAAAGAAAGAGCACTGGTGATAACTTGGAAGAAAAAAGAACGATAATCTTTTCGGAAATGAAGATGAAAATGTAATCTCTGAAATTTTGCCAGATTTATGCACTGCTTTTAAGTCATTGAACATCTTTTGTAATTAATCAAGCATGCCAACGGATTTGAATATCTGAGTCAAATGCGTAAATAATGCATCTTTTGGATGGCTTTCGCTTAATCTGTAATTTATTAGTATTGCTACGAAATGTCCAGGCGCGGTAAGATGGCTTTCCCGCAAAGCAGTTTTAGGGTTGCCAAAACGGCTAGGGAAAGCAGGGTTGCCACATTTGGCGAAAAATCGTCCATTTGGCGACAAAATTGGCGATATACCATGGGCGGTTGGAGAACTTTCAGGAACGAATTCTTAACGGTTTAGCCCAGAATATTCTCGAACACAAGCCGAAAGCTATATAAACCCTGCTGGTTCGCACTTGGTGTGTGCCTCGTCTAGCGAGCTGATAGTCATTCATTCATCGAGTGTCGAGTGGTTCGTCGAGTGCATCGAACAGTCTCTTAGTGTGTCGCGGTTAGTGCATCGTCGAGAGTGTGTGTTAAGCTCCAGGAACGACTGAACCGAAGAGTCGGGAGCTGTGCTCTGTGTGTCGTCGAGTGCATCACGAGTTGTAGCGTGGAGAGTCTCGAGAGTACGTGGAGTTCCGAGAACGACCGAGCAGAAACAGGAGCTGTACTCTGGTGCTTTGCAGTAAAGCTGTCTCCACCGTTATAGCCTGATAGTGTGAAGGTTGCGTCGCTGAACGAGTCAGCGTGTTTATAACAGTTCGATGACTGTAAAAGTGATTTTGGAGCTGCCCTGATTAATACTGGTAAATAAAGTGTGTTTCGATATTCCATCAAGTGCTGTCGTCGTTATTCACTCCAAATTCACACGAACCCCGTACGAACGTGAAGGAAGAAAATCACGTAACAACTGGTGTCAGAAGAAGAAAATGCAACAGTATTTTACCTCACATTTTTTTTTTTTTTTTTTTTTTTTTTTGCCCATTGCAAGTAACTCACTTGCCCCACCCTCGGTCCGGCTTTATTTAAATACCTGTTCACAGACGACAAAATGTCTTTTGCAGATAATTTTTTAGTATCGAAGTGAATGAGACATAATATTATAATTAATCAACTATCATATCGTTCTTCAGAACTAAAATACTTTGCGCAGAAATTGAATCATATAACACAAAATTAACAACAATTATTTGAATTTCTTTATTAAATATTTTTCTGCATAATAACGTGTATTCAAATTCGTATATGAAATTTTCTTAGTTTTTTTCCAGCAATGTTTTGGCTTTTAAAACCTTATGCAAAATAAAAGGCAGAATAACTTTCTTTTTACCTCTTGTTTTACATTCTAAATGTATCCATCTCTTTAAAAACATTTATTATGTTTTATGTTTTCCACATTTAATGTTTCAGAAATAAAATTCCACAGAGAATTGTGAAATCGATAATCGGTCTTACGTTTATCGATATTTCTGGATTATGCGGGTCATCTGCAATTAAATTATCCAAACTGCTAGAAATTTTCTAAACATTTGACATTAATAATGCCTTTCTATTTCTACATCGTATTTCATTACACTATTAAGACATTTATTATTCAGGCTATCTGGCAAGCATTACCATTTCACGAAGCATAAGATTTTTAATTACAATACGTTTGGCGTGGCAAATATCGTATTTCTAGAAGCGTAGCCATAAGACGCTGCATAAGATGTTTAATTTATTTTTCAAATTCAAACTATATATTGTTGAACTAATTGAATGACATAAAAGTAATACAGTGATTCATAGTACTAATTTATATCTTAGAAACGGAACCACGCAGTTTAAATTTGAGAAACACGAAAGCCAAGTTGAAAAAAATGAGCAAGTGCCAAAAAATTAATAACGAAACTCGGAAACAACCCTCTTTATTGGCACAAGAGAGAAAATACAAGATTCCAACAGAACATTTCATACTAAATTCAAATATGTAAGTAATGTTTTAGTCCCATCTATGTTTTTTATGACAACCAGGTTAAATAATGAAAAAATGGTAGATTTTGAGTCCTTTGTAAAGTCACCAACCGTGGT